AAGGCATAGATTCTCAAGAAAAACTGGGGTGCTGGCAATAGGAGTTGTAGATGCTAGATTGATATACATCAACAGCTGTCTGCCTCAGACCATTGAAACCTAACCCTTCATATAGCACATTGGAAAGGTGCTAGTGGGGGAGAGGAGAATTTGCTCAAGGCTTAAACCCAGCCAGTGGACAGACAGCTCAAAAGGATGTCCTGTGTTATGTCCAGAACATGAGGCTGACCTTTTTCAAAGGATTAAGTTGTCTGCCTCTTTCCTTTTTTCCATTAGTTCTCTTTTCTCTAATTAAGATCCTTCTCTTTTTCTTTTAGGATAGACATCCCATGGGAATGACACCTCAAATACAGAGGGGTGTGTGTGTGTGTGTGTGTGTGTGTGTGTGTGTGTGTAGGTTGGGCTTGTGTCTCTTTGTCTTTTATTCACATAAACTGGAAAAATTAGAAAGAAAGAGAAAGAACATTCATTCCCTAGGGGATAAGAGAAAATTCAACGGTCTGATGAAGTTGTCAAAGACCCTCCTCTCTAGATTAAGGATGTAATTTTAAAACCACTACTTTAGGGTTCAATGGATGTAAGGCAAGCTCCTCTCTGTGCTTCAGAATAGACAGGGCAATCCCACGTTTATCCTGAGATTTTAAATCCCTTTCATTTCTCTGTAGACTTTCCATCATGTCTGTAAAGAGAAACTTCTTCTCTTAGGTCACCTTCTAAGAAATTCCTTCAGGTATTACATAATAATGCCTTATATTTTTAGAATACTTTAGAGTTCTCAAAGCATGTCTACAAGCTAAGAGCTCATCCTCACAACAAACCTGAGCAGTGGTAGATTCCCTCAGGAATGTGGAACAGGCTCAGGAAGCAGAGTGACTTTCCAAGGTCTTACCACCAGGTGGCAGGGTGGAAGACCAAGACCGTGTCTCACTATCAGTCCTCCTGCCAGGGCCACTTTGGCTTGCTTTCCCACACTGGGAGCTGAGATGAGTTCTTGTTGAAGAATCATGGAAAGGAGACTGGGCTGAGTGATTTGGGCTAAAGCCTGGATTTAGGCATTAGAATGACCATAGCTTTGGAGTCTATGTTGACTTCATTAGCATCAGTTTCTTAATCTTTCAAAAGGGAGCAATGGTACTTATAAATTTTT